GTTCGCTACCTCGATGCCGACGGTATGACGCATCAGACTGGTAGCTATCCTGCTGTGTAAGATCCACGTTTTCTTCTCGTTCCGCGAATTCACTCCCTGGTGCCTTTTTGATAGTGTACCGCTCAACTTCTCTGGAAATATCTATCGTGCTCTCGCGCGGCCTGCCATTTTACCTCTCGAGGGAAGCCGTGAGACGCTTTCTGATAGCGGATCGCCATCCGTTCCATTGGTCAAACGACCATTCTCGGTCGCTTCGTGAGTGTCTCCACGCTGCCTGGGCGGATACACAAAGCTGTTCAAGCCGACGACCACTTGGGAAGGTCCTCAGACGTCTCGGCCTCCTCAACATCCTGGGAAGGGCTGTCCGGATATTGATATCCTGTTCTCTGTCCCCCTCTAACCCCTTTCAAGTGTGCATATCAAACAATACTCCATCTCCTCATTTTACTATGACCGTCGTGCAGCTGTATCTGGCACGACCACGCAAACATCGCGGAAGTGTGCGCACTCTGGCACCAAGGTCAGACTTGATGCAATCTCGATTAAGAGACGCTGTTCACATCTCTCTTCGAACAGCTGTATCTGCGTGGTCCTGGCCGGATAGTCATAGGCGTGGAATAAACGAAGGCGCTCGTTGCGTAAGGCATGCTGAAGCCAGATCATGCCACGGCAGTGGAGTCGTTCGGTCGCCGGTGAGATGATGGTTGGTCGGTGTTGTGTGCTAATGTCAAGTAAATCATGCTGTCAACTGCGTTGAGAGGCTATGATTGGGACATCTTTGTGCCCAGCGATTTTCAGATGCGGTCTGACTTCTGAGTTTTTTTAAGGACACCGTCTGATGCTACACCGGCAGCGACGTCCCACTTAGAGCGCTGGTATATACCACTGTCATCGTCATCTGCGGGGCGATTATCAATAGCGATCCGTACGATTATTCTGTCCATCATCCGTAGCTCGTCGGCTGACTTTATTGTCAACTCCAGGGGTGTGTGAACCCCTCCGTTCATACGTGACGGTGTACGGCTCACGCCTGGTCACCATGAACATGCATGATTACATGGGCTTGAAGCCGTACACATCTAACTAACTCACCACTTTAAAAGCGACGACATCGAGGCGTAGATTTAAGCAATGTGTAACTTGGGGCGAACTTAATCTCGCCACGTTCCTGGTGCATGTGTGCCAGACTGCCGGTCGCTCGGTACTCCCGCACGAGCGGCGCGGCAGGACAGTGGGCAGCGGATTCGCTTCTCTAGCATGATTGCTGAGCACGACAGGCTTGCTGTCAATTCTTTGAGACCCTACAACCCAGAGCTGCGCCGCAACTGCGCCTTCGCAGAGCACTTGCTTATGGTGCGTGTTATGTTGTCCAATGTGCCCCGAGACATCTGAGCATCCAGCTCTGCAAACCCACCAGCCCTATACTTTACAGCGCGGAATCTCACGTAAAGCTGCTCGCTCCACTCAATGACCCGGTCATCACCGATAGAGACAAGGCCGCACCAGCGCTTCGGAGTCGGAGAGCGAGAGTGGAAGCGAGAGTGAACTCTTTTCTGAAGAGGAGGAAGATACCAGCACCGAGGGTGAAGGTGAAGGAGACGTGGGCGAGTTTCTTGCACATCGAGTTGCTGACCTCAAGAAGCCGATCATTGCTCTTCATGACATATTGTCAACCACCACTACTCCCGCGGCACCGCTTCGTCTCATTGCTAAAGTTCTGCAACATACTAACACATCTGCGCTGCGTCTGCTAAAGGATTTGGATTGGAAAATATAGATTATTGCTGGATATTTGTGCATTTCTTGTGTCGTTGAAATTTGGGTGCTTAATTAAAGCAGAAATGTTACTGACATGGAACTAACGAGCAGTAACTAACTGTGAGTATCTTCCCGATGTTACTAACCGGGAAGAAACCCCGAGGGTAGTTTTTCAGGGAACACTAGCACTCACCCCTATGATAAAAATTGTCGTAGATTACACATAACCAAAAACACTTGAGGCTTACTTTCGGAACTGACGGCGCAAGTTCTATGGCAGCTACGAGGAGCATACACCATCGTACTGAGCCAAGGAGCATGGCACGTACAGTAATGGGTCTCCTCCACACAATCTCAATCTCATCATTGATGGTTATCAGAAACTCGTAGATGACGAGGCCTAAAGGGCAGATACTGTGTGAGTGATGTACCGGGAAACAAAGGATATGTTACTTGCACACGGCAGCTTCGTCGATGTAATCACTCGTGGCACTGGGAGACGAAGGTGTGAATATAGGGCCGCCAGAGACAATAGGAGTAACGCTTACAGTAGTAAGTAGGCTCGAACAAGGGGTTGATCTGACTGTACTGACATAGTTAATGTGATGAGGCGAGGGGCGAGTTGTATTTAGGATGGGCTGCGGCTTGCACATTTTATAGGGGGCCTGGCCATTCTTCTATAAAAAATGATTATTGTGACTTTTTCCAGATATCTTTCTAGATCTGCACCATTTTATAACTAGATGGTGCTTTGTGGAAGATTACAAATGGCCCTTTGAAGCCGTAGGCACAGAAGACGCTGGTCCTATTGTGAGCGAAACTAGTATAGAAGCGAGAAATTAACACTGTAAACATGGAGGAGATGAAAGGCCGTTAATATGCTTGAGAATAATAGGAAACAAGGCATCTGTACTGCTATCTGCTCCATCTATGTCGCCATAAGCGTTCAATTCCGAACATACGTCCCTTTCCGAGTCCTGCCCTCGACGAGCACCTACCACTCGGGGGCTATCAGAGCTAACGAGTACGCTCTTTTTCTAAAATTTCGGTGCATGGATATATTTAATTATCGACATTGGAGGGAACCAAGATGGAACTTGGAGGCAGTGAAGATTTTTACCCTGCGAGTGCGC